TTATCATCCATATCAAGAACATAGAAATCTACAGGGAATATGAGATCTTTTATCTTAACCAAGACATCTTCCAAGACTTCTTCTAGGACTACATAATGTTTATTAGTAAGGGAGGCAAGTAGATTTGTGGGTTTGAGATTCACACCTTAAAGTTGAGAGAAGACTGAATTTGGACATAACATCAATAGCTGCTCCTAAATCAACTAGAGCATTTGAAAACTTAGTGTCACCAATGGTGCATGCTATAAGAAAACTACTAAGATCTTTACACTTCATTATCATTGGCATTTGATAGAGAGGGGAGGAAATTGTGCCGAAGTCAACCTTTCCTTAGTTCTTGAATCTTCTTTTTATGGTGCATAACTCTTTTAAAAACTTTGCATACTTAGGCACTTGTATAACTAGGTCAACTAATGAAACATTAATCATCACCTTCTTGAAGATGTCATAGACCTTAAACATTTCATCTTCCTTCCTCCTTCTCTCAGCCTTGGCTACCCCGTGAGGACAAGGTAAGACTTTCTTACTCACTTCCTCATCTTTTTATCTTTTTCTTGCTTTTCTTGCTGTGCCACTTGTGTTTTTGATAAAGTGGACTCTTCTTGTGATGTGAAGGTAGAAGGAATATCATCGATAGCAGCTTCCTTTCTTGGGTGGCAACAGAATCTATAAATATGACTATTTTTCCACTTTTGAGGGATATAGCATTAAATCCACGAATACTAAGATTCTGTTAGGTTGCAACATTAGGATTGACCACCCCTTGAGAAGGCAATTTTTTTGAACCTTGACGTTGCATATCATTAACTGTCTTGGCCAATTGGCCAAATTGGGTATGAAAATTTTGTATCTCTTACCTATATTGAACTCATTATGTTACATTTGTTTCTGTAGTTATGTGTTACTCTAATTAGTCCTTTGAAGTTGTTGTTGAATTTGCATATTTCCTTTCAAAAATTGCTTCAATATTGCTTCCGTATTGCTTTCCCTCTTTGATTCCTTAATAGGAATAGTCTGCCTCACCAATTGATTATAAGGATCCATGGCATTAAAACCTTAATTCTGATTGCCTCCTTTATATCTTAAATTAGGATTATCTTTCTATCCCAGATTGTATGTGTTGGAGAAGGGATTATATTTCTATTGTCCTTGTTACATCGATCTAGAAGGAAAGACTACATTGTAAGGCTCAACTCTATCCTTCAAAAATGGGCAAGCATCAGTAGTATTGGTAGCCAATGAACAAATGAGCAAAGTGGGCCAACTAAAGCTATAGAGCTAGGTTGTGGGGTAAAAGAGGTAGAAGATCTCGTAAAATTAGCCATGTTGGAAGAATTTTGCATCTATAGTACAACCATCTTTTCCATAACAAATACAAGCTTATATATCTTGCTCTCAAGGTGAGACTATTTAATGAAGAATGTGAGTCAACTTCATTGACTCTAGCTTGTTGTCTAAAACCAAACTGCTAGGTATTTTCATCTTTCTTCTCAATCAGTTCCCAAGCAGCATCGACAATCAAGTGGAGATGAGCACCTCCAACAGTAGAATCTCATAAATCTCTCTTAAGAGATAAAAGGCCTTCATAAAAATACTATATTAGTAATGTATATGTGATCTAGTGGTGTGGACAACTAGATAACAACGTCTTAAAACACTCCTAATACTTATAGAGAGACTCCCCAGATATTTATCGGCAACCACATATGTCCTTCCTAATAGAAGAAGTGCGAGATGCTAGGAAATACTCCTCTAAAAACAACTTCTTAAGTTGATCCCATGTGATAATGAAATTCAGGGAGTAACTCAAGCAACCAATTTTTAGTAGACCCTTTTAAAGAAAATGGGAAGGCATGCATCTTAATCTGATCTTCACAAACACCATTAGGTCTCATAGCAGTGGAAATCATGTGAAAAGTCTTTAAATGGTTGTATGGATTTTCACCTACAAGGCCATTAAGTTTGGGAAGTGTATAAAACCAGACTTCAATTCAACATCAGCATCAATGTCAGGATAATTAATGCACCAATTTTGAAAATGTAAATTGAGTGAAACCAACTCTTTAATGGTTTGAACAAGAGGAACATTTTGTGCATCAGCATTAACATTCACATTCAATTGATTATTCCCTTCCATTTTGACTTTACAATTAGATAAATTGGAAGATGAGTTAACAAAAGAACTACTAGTTACAAGCTTTTCAACCTCAATCTTTCTTCATTGGTCCTCTCAATTTCAAGATCAAGTTCAAACAATTTTTCAAAAGAAGATATGGTCATGCATTAAACAAATTCCAAACACCAAACTCAAGAAGCTCAAAGAGAAATTAAAATGCAAATTTTGGAATTTTTCAACAAAGTAAAAGGGAAAAAAACACCAAAAACATCCAAATAAGTCAAAAACCAATAAAGCTTTGAAAGAAGTATTAAAAGACATTAGTTAACACATCCAAAGCTTCATCAAAACAAAATAAAGATCAGAAAAGTTCAGAAAAAAAATTACTAGAAAATAGAAAAAAAATCAAAGAAAATTTGCAAAAAAGGAAGAAAAATAGAAAAATCACTGAAAACAGCTGAATTTGGCAAAATAGCCCACATCTGGTACCTATAAGTACCAAAATTGATCAGCACACCCAAAAACCTTGAAATATCAAAAACTAAAATTTTCTAGCCAAAAACAGAGCAATTTTCAAAACAAGGTATTTAAGCAAAATCAATCGAAATGCAAAATGTAGAAGACCAAAACAAGATAAAAATGCATGAAAATACTAGTAAAATGCATGAAAACACCTAGGAACTCTTACGATTAACCATTGCTCCTCGACAATGGCGCCAAAATTGATGGATATGCCTTAGTCGTGTTCGCACTTAAACTAAGATTTTCTTAATATAGTATAGACCAACCATAGGTCATTCTTTTTAAGGAACAATTTAGGGGTTATCTTAAGTTGATTCTAGGTATTTAATTACTAAAAAAATCTAAAATAAAATGCTATATTTCTACTCTAAAATGCAAATGAGAAAATGCAATTTATGCCATTAAAACTACCTGAATTGATGTTAATGCTAATGTGTAACAACTTAATTTTATTATGCAATGTATGAGTTCTAAATTATGATTTGGGGGGTTTGTTTAAAGAAAAATTTGAAAAGAAAGCTAAAGAAATTAATTAAGTGACAAAAAGAAATAATTAACTAAAAAATAAGAAATGTTTGATTCAAATGTGATAAAAGGGATAACTTAGGACATTACATGGAGTTAACTTTTCTAGTCCAATTCAATTAGTTAGACCAAAGGGAATTGACAGGAGAGTGAAATTAATAAATTCAATTACATAATTAAAGTAAAGGAAACCTAGAAGTACAAAGTCTAACACTTAATTCACTAGATAACTCAGTGAACTAAATGTTATGACTATGAATTAGACAAATTAAATCTACTAAAACCAATGATGATTAATTGAAAATAAATCTGAAAAATTGTTTAAATTATCCAATTGAACAATTAAAAAATTATTAACTCAATTGAATAATCAAGAGGTAAAAGGAACAACCCAAATTTATAACAAACACCACAATGACAATTAATTAACCATGAGAACTCAATAATTAATTTATGTAAAGCAAGGGTATATAAATATAAATTTTAGAAATTCCTTCAACACAAAATCAATCCAAATATCAATTTAAACTAAGATATAAAATATTTACAACCTAAAATTAAATTGCCTTTCAACATTACAACTTAGAATCATTTAAAACTAAATAATTATAAGCTCTTGAATTAAAAAGATAAATAAAAAATCACTCCCCAATAATCTTCAAATGTAAATTTTAGACTCTAACTTTCTCTGTTTGTCCCAAGCAGTGATGAATCTAACCTTCCCTCCACCCCTTCCTTCCCCACACTTTCATATTTTGCTATTGTTTCTATGTTTCTTACTTGTAAAATAATATCGTAAGATTCCCCCCCCCCCAATCCCTCTCTTATTTTCTCACTCTTGCCCCCCAAGTAACTCACCCTGGATTCGTCCCTAGTTCCAAGTTCTCTCTCAAATTAGCTCCAAACTCTCATGAATTTTGCTCTTCCTCTAAGCTTCAACCAAGTCACTGTTTCGGTCATAGATGAAAATGGTGGAATCAATGTGACACCGAGGTGGCGGAAGAAGGTAATGGAAGAAGTATTGGAGGATGGGCCGTGTGTGGCTATTTGTGGACGTGACTTTAAGTGACAGATTGGAGAGATGAGAAGTGAGATGATGAATGATGTAATCGTGGATGAAGAGGGGAGAGATGCGGTAGATGATGATGCTGATGGACACTGAAGAAGAAAAAAAAAAAAAGAAAAATCTGAGAGAGAGCTTTCTTCATTTCCGGCGGCTGTGTAAAATTAGGAAGAAGAGAGGAATTTAAGGCAAATGATTCAATGCTTAAAAGAGAGGGTAGAGAGTTTAAAAAAAAATTTCAACCATTAATTTTAAAAGGAGCCAATAAGAAAAAAAATTAAAAAATATAAAAGTTATCTAATTTTCCTTAATTAGAAATACTTCTTATATCCTTAATGAATTTTAAAAAAAATTTTCTTATCTTTCAAAGTCTTGACCATTAGATGTCTCTTGAATAACCCCAAAAATTAATATTCACTAATGAATTTTATTAATTTTACATCCTTATCTTGAAAAAAATCAAATGCACCCATTAATATAAATTATATCCAAAATAAATTTTATGTCCCATAAAATATTTTTAAATTAATTTTTTTTGTAATTATAATTTTCTCACAAAATAGTCAGAAACTCAAATAATGTATAATAATTCAAATTAAGCTTAATTAATGATTGGCAAAATTAACCCATGTTAAAAATATGAAAATAAAATATTCACAATTTAATCTATAATTAATTCAAAAATATATTATTCTTCAAAATTAAAAAATAATTTAAATAATATCTAATAAACTCAAATTAGTGCCAAATCATTATTAAAATACATAGAAAATGTAAGATAAAATATATAAAATCTATTATTCATCATTAAAATAGCGTCTTCCCCACCTGGGATCTCTGCGGACCTGTCCATTTGTTCATTCAAGTGAGACACGATTTTATCTATGAATTATACAGACGTAATTACAAGGGGATGGTTTTATCCAGCATGATTTATAATTAGAATAGAATACGGGTTAATTATGATGCACGACGAGCAAAAACAAAGTGAATCCCACTTGCTCTAACTTCCAGTGCTGTTGCAGCCCCAATTCTTTCTGCTAAATCCGCATCTCTACAAGCAGCCACCAGTGAGAAATGAAAACTACAAAATGTCAAGAACAACGGCAATTATTTATTCGTACAAATGCTGCAGTAACAAGCAAGCTGTTACGGGATCAGTTCTTGACCCCACTTGTATAATTGACAAACATCAAACAGCATGAGAACTTAGAAATTACTACCAATGAAGAATTGGTACTCTAATCAAATTCAAGGGAAAGCACCTACCTAGTAGCTCCGAGGCCAACATTGAGAGGATATATAGTAGCACCGTATATCTTTATTACCATGAACAGCATCGATCCCATATACGAGCGGAATGCCTAATCTGGACTCGAGAGCCGACTTTTGAAATCCATCCACCATGTCAGTCCAATCCGACGCCATGGCATTTTCAAAAGGGCCACTACCTCCACAACTAAGCATGCTCCTTCAAGTAGCAGAACCAGAACCAGAACCAGAATACCAAACATCTCAATCTTCAAATCCTAAAGGAGAAAAAAGTAAGAGATAAAATAGTACCAATAGACAAGCCGCTAATGGCGGAAGGAGTTGCGACGCGACGCTCGATTTGGGTCATCTGACCAATCTTCTCTTTCAGAGTCATTCGGGAAAGGTCCTGAACACGAGCTTCAATTGGTTCATTGGGATTCTTGTACAAGCAATCCATGTCCTCCAATCTGTTCATCCAACTCGTCGACTTCAAAAAGCGGAGTACGAACAAGAAGCAAAACGTATTGTATTATAATGGGAACTGGACAATAATGGTGTTAGACACGAGTTAAGCATCGTCTCGTCCTGTCCCGAGTGTGCGTGTGTATTAATTTTATTTATCATTTTGCTTTATACATAATAAACTTATTTTATTTTCTAAAGTTAAATTTTCTAATATTTTATTACTTGTGATTTATGGTTATTCATTTGTGTTGTTTTGAATTTAAAGAAGTTATGTAATTTGATAAATATTGTGTTGAATTTAAGTTTTTTTGTTTAAGCTAGTTTTATTGCTCCCATTATAAGATTCATGTATGCTGTTAGTTCTCTATCAAGTGTATTTTAAACTTGTACTATAAGGTAATATATTGATGTTTGAGTTTACAAAATAATACATTTTAGGTTAAATCTACAAGAATTCTCATTATTTAATATCTTAAGAAGATTAATGAATAATAATGCTTTACAACAAATGGATTTTTGTTGGAGAAAAATTAAAAAAAAAAGTGTGCTTGATTACTTATAATTTGAAGATATGAATATCATCAAAGAAGTTGGCTAATTAGTTCTTGCATTTCAATCTCTTCTATTTCCATCTTTTTTCTTTGATTAGGATTCTCTAGTCTTGTCTCGTCCTGTTTCAATCCCAAATGAGACAGGACCACCTTCAAGATTGGACGAGGCATGAGACTAAAATCTAATCTAACTTATTTTTAGGAGAGGACATGGGATAAACTTCTCCTAAACTCATCCCATGCACACCCTTAGATAAAAATTTAGTTTACAACTTCTACAATCACACTACTAAATTAATGTAAATATCACAAAGTAATGCAAAGGAATGAGAAAGAGTGTAAAGAAGGAAACTACATTCCATAGAGAGTCTTGTTCGTTTATATCTCACCTAATGAATACATATCTACATAGTTGTAAAAGATTCAAAGCCTATTTAGATAACCCTCAAAAGCACATTCACACAACATTCAAGATGTGTTTTTGCTAAATCCAACAAATAGTTGAGTCTCCCAAATAGACTTTTGCCATATGTAAATTGAAAATCAAATACACACTTAGTCTAACCAACATGAGGTTTTAGGTCCCACTTGCTTACTAGAAAGGAATGGAATGAAAAGAATAAAGGTAAAGATAAGATAATTAAAGGGAATAGGTGAGTATATTCATTAGGGGGAGATGTAACTTAGTTTACGAAGTTGAGATTCATGTTTCATAAGATTTTTAGAGGCTATGATGATTCTCACATTTGTAGTATATATTAATAAATTTTATCATACTCACCATAGGGGAAAGGATTATTTAGTTCATTTTAACCTTTAATTTTTCAATTCATTCCACCCCACTCCTTTTTATTAACCAAATGGGACCTTAGTTCTTAGAATATGTCAACCCAAAGCCAAGTGGGAATAAAGGATCATGCATTTTAACCTTATGGTTTGATTGATCAAGATCCTCAACTCTTCTAAACCAAGTCACAGGAAGCTGACCCTTGAAGTCAACATCTCCAAAGATAACATCTATGATTCCCTGAGCTTCAGTGCCAGGCAACCAAGCAGCAACAAGAGCATCAATCTTTTCTAACAGCCATGGTTCTAATAATAAAGGTCTTCCAGATATTAGAATAACCAGTGTTGGGAATTTGTCTGCAATTGAGCTTATAATGTCAGGGCCATTAAATGGGATTACGAGCTCAGAATTGTCACCAAAAAACTCGGCATAAGGTTTTTCACCAACAGCTACAATAGCAAAAGATATGTCATTGCGTTTTAGAGTATCTTTTGATGGACTCTGCTCATAAATAATTTCTGTTTCATTTCCTATAGCTTCCTCAATGGCCTTCAAGAGCGTTGTCCCTAGAATAGTGTGCAAAGCTTAAATGTAGCAACCATGTGGAATAAGGAAGTAAGAGAGTGGTATAAATATAAAGCATGAAAAATTAACATTAGCACAAAGCATAGAGTAAACTTAGATATGAAAAAATGAATTGGGTTAGAAGGTTACAAGTTAGTCCAAGGTCTAATAGACTAGACCTACTCATGTCTTTATCTTTTTAAAAGTTAATCTTTTTTTTTTAAGAAAAGAACATTAAAATTAAAGGTGCAAGTTGCTGATGAAGTTCGATATTTCTTTGAAAATTAAAATTAATTCATGTTCATGTAATTATGTTTTCTTTTAATTATTTGATTACATGATGAATATAATTTTTTATTTAAATTGTCAAATTTTCAAGTCATGTGCACTGTAATTTATTTATCGTTCAAAAAATTGCCACTTCAACCTTATATACTTTATATATTATATTTATATTTACTAATTTTGTAATGTAATATAAAATAAAATAATCACACACCCACACATATATTATATATTATATATGATATATACAATCTTAGTACCCAACTTTTTTTTTTTTACATTACTATAAAATATACATTTTATATCCCTCAATTAACGTCACCTTTTATAAAAGTGACATAAAAAATAGAGACAGTGATAATTTTATAAATAAGTATTAAATATGTAAGACTATTAATGTTGCTTTTTTAAAAAGTGATGTGAAAAATATCAAAAATTAATAATTTAAAATAATTTATTTTCTACTTGTCACTTTTTTAAAAAAAGCAATGTGGATTATAAAAAGTAAATTATTTTAAATTATTAAATTCTGAACATTTTTTAGTCACATTTAAAAAAAAGGGACGTGAATTGTATAAAATGAATTATTTTTAATTATTAATTTCTGAATATTTTTTACATTGTTTTTTTAAAAAGCAATGTGATAAGTTATTCACATCACTTTTTTTTTTTAAAAAAAGATGAGAATTGTAAAAAATAAATTATTTTAAGCTATTAATTTTTTGACATTTTTAATGTCACTTTTTTAAAAAAAGCATGTGAATAACTTACCACATTGCTTTTTTTAAAAAAGTAACGTGGATTATAAAAAATAAATTATTTTAAATTATTAAATTTTAAACATTTTTTACGTCACTTTTTTAAAAAAAATGATGTGAATAACTTATCAGGTCACTTTTTTTAACAAAAGAATGTGGATTGTATAAAATAAATTATTTTAAATTATTAATTTCTGAACAATTTTCACATCTCTTTTTAATAAATTTATTTTAAATTATTAAATTTTGGATATTTTTTACAACACTTTTTTTAGAAAAGCGACGTGGATTGTATAAAATAAATTATTTTAAATTATTAATTTTTAAAAATTGTTTACATTTCTTTTTTAAAAAAATGATGTGGATTATAAAAAATAAATTATTTTAAATTGTTAATTTTTGAACATTTTTCACTTTGCTTTTTTAAAAAAGTGATATGGATTTTAGTTAGCTTTTTTAAATCAGATTGAGCTCCTCCCTCACTTCATTATTCTGTATTTTAATCTAACTCTTCTCCCTCTTTCTCTTTGAGGCAACACGTCTCTCTTCTCCTCCCCACTGCAAATCTCTCTTCTCCCCCACACAACAACTCTCTCTTCTTCTTCCCACTACATCGAGACCCACAGCATCGAGATTTACAGTCGACAAATTGAATAAAGACCCAAGGCTAGCATTCAACAAACAACTCTCTTTTCTCCTCATCTCCTCCTCTTCCCCCATTTGATAGATAGCTTCAAGACTCACGATTGAGATCCATGGCTTTTCCTCTTCTTTCCTCTGAGCTAGTGAGCAATATTTAGTTAGTATCACTTTCACCCACAAACTTTTTTTTGTAGATATTTTTGACCTCTACTTGGGCCTTCTTCATTTTATTTGATTGCTTCATCAATTTTGGTGTGGTTTTATTTTTTTTATTTTGTTTTTAGGTCTATAAAATCCATAACTCACTAGAATAATGAAATGAGAATGGCAGATATTCAAAGTTAAATTATTTTAATATTTTTTTCAGAAGAAACCACGTGGCTTTTTGCAAAAAAAAAAGGACGTGATTTCTCTATAATCTACATCCCTTTTTCACAAAAAGGGACATCCATTTTTTTTACAAAAAACAACGAGGTTTTTCTAAAAACTACATCCCTTATAAAAGTGATGTGGATAAGTCAACCTTCTATGTCACCTAGATTTATATCCCCCACAATAGGGATGTAAAATGCCCTATAAAAGTGACATAATTTTTTTTTTGCAGTAGTGTTACTTGAAAATACCCAACTCTAAGTCCTTACAACATGGGGTAAGGTTCCTTGGTCTACTTATTTAATTATTTTTTCATGTTAGTACTTGCCAAAAAAAAGAGGTTTTTGTATGAATATAAAGTTAATAATACACATTAACACAACACAGCAAGTCACATTATGACAAGGTGAGCTAGATTCAGCTTGCCTCTGAATGCCAACCCACCCATCATAGGTGACCTGGTGGGCCAAATTGCCAACATGCTTTTTAAATATATTTTTTAATTACTTTTTGTAAGATTTTAAATTGAATTGCAATTTTTATAAAATAAACTTAAATTATTTTGATATTTTCTTCATATTTTATGATTAAATTAATTTTAGAATCTGCAAATACATTTTACTTAATTATTTGATCAATATAAAAATAATAAATGAAAAAAACAGTTAAACGTAAAATTATGTTCCTAACATGAATCAAATAAAGTTATAATTAAAAAAAATAAAATACAATTTTTTAAATAAAATTAAAATTATAAACAAAAATGATTAAAAAAATAAAAAGCAAGCCAACATGTTGGGTTGCGAGTTAGGTGGGTGGGCCAAATAAGCCTGCCTTTAAATGGGTTGAAAATTTTCTAGCTCAACCTGTTATTTTTTGGTAGATTGGCTCACTAAACCTAATTCATATTATCTACTCTATTTAAAAGATCTTTTGAGCCTAACCTATACATGCCCAAAAAAAGGAACCGAGCTTAGGTTACCCATTTAAAACTATCTTTATTTTTTAAAAATAAAATGTGAAAAAGAGATAGGGAGACCTTGCAATGTAAGTTTTCAATGAACAATCTAGCAAGTTATCTCCAATACAATTTGTAACATTTCTTCATTTTCCTGTAGGAATTTGTTGTTAATGACCACCTTTCCCACTTATTTGATAATTCAACTTACATAAATGTATATTATGGTTTAATATAATCACTATAATCAAGCAACAAAAGTCTTATTATCATGAGAAAGTAAGACAAGTAAACTATTCAGAAGTTTCAAATTTATATCTCATTTTATACGTGCATATATCTTACTCTTGTCCAGGTGAGAATATAATGTGCATGTTTAGTCAAGGTGATTAAGTTTTTTTTTAATTAAAATAAACATATTTTTTAAGGGTTAAATGTTTTATTTCTGAGTGATGATGGGAAGGATTAAAGAACATTTATATATTTTGATCAAATTTAGACTTGAAATAAGTGTTTTACAAAAGATTAATGAGCGAATGATAGATAGATCCCAAAGAATTGATTAATTCAACTTAAGTTTCAAATACCAAACACCATGAATTTGTAAGTTCAGTTCTAAATTTTGTAACTTTGTTGTAATAAATTTGCAAATTTTGTTTTAAATTTAAACAGAAAAAATAAATTTATTTATTCCTCAACCATGTTAGAATTTGTAAAATAAGTTACAAATTCATCACAATGAAATTACAAAAATGAGAGATAAACTTACAAATTTTTGAAATTTAGCACTTAGAATCTATATTGAATCAATTGATCCTTTTGAGATTTCTCTATCATTCTTCTAAGATTAATATCTTTTGTACAAATTTAGACATAAGGCTAAGCCTATTAGGGCAAGGCCAACACATTTTTTAGTTCTAGATAAAATAGAAATATTTTTGGGCTTAGGCCTCTTTTGTAACTAAAAAAATATAATTCCTTTATCTTTCTCCCTAACCACTCTCATGAATATGTATAAGAAGTTTTGGGTAAGGGTGGGAGACAATTATTTGAAAAGAATTTGATGGGAAGAAATAGAAAAAGAAATAATTAAGGATATTACAAGGATATTACAGATTTAAAGATTGAAGATATTTTGTTTTCATATTAATGGGTCATATTTTATTTTACTTTGAATTATTGTTATTTTTCAATATTTATTATTATCTTTTCAGTTATTATTATCTTTTTATTTAATTTTAGAATATCTATGATTTTCATGCATTTATTTCTAGGATTGGATTGAGGCCTATAAATAGCACCTCAACTCATTTGATTTGTATGCACATTTAATTGAATGAGAATTACTGTCATATTGTCTCTCCTCTGAGTTTTCTCTTCTCTCTATTCTCTCTATTGATCCCTTTCTTTCTTTTCTATATTCTCTCCCTCCTCTCCTTTCCCATTCTGCATTAATTAGTATCAGAGCCAGGTTCCTACACCACTTCTATCACCAAACCCACTAAAAAAATACCTTCTTAATACCAAGAATCATCATACGAAAAAGCTTTAGGAGATAAGTTTATAACTTAAGACTTCTTAAGTTACTAGGTAAGGTTCTTCGATCCTAAATTTCAAGTCCCTTACTATGTGTCTCCTTTCCTTTTTCTTTTTTCCTATTATTTTTATTTGTTTCTACTTTCCTTCACTTTAAGCCATGCTACCATATTTCCTTCTTTTTGATATTATTTTATTTTCCATATTTCCTTTCCTTCACTCACTCATTCGTCTTTTCCTTTGATTTAGCTCTTAAAAAAAATCCCCTTATAAATAGTTATCTACCTTAGACTGGTTGAAGTTTCTATTGATTTTTCTAAGGGGTTTCTAAACCCCTACTGAATCACATATTTTGCATATTTTTTTATATTTTTGACCATATTTTATTAGTTTAGACCCTTATATGCATGGTTTTGGTACTAAATTTAATCATTGGCTCACTTCTCATTAAATTTTGGTATTAAGGGCA